CACCCCATCTTTGTAATCCTTGAGTCTAACACAGTGGCGGGTGCTAAGTAAAGGTTCCATAAAGGAAAAACTAACCCTTTCAGTGGCACAAGCCTTGACTCCTTCCAACCACTTGGGGTGCGGTACCCGGAGGCGCATGGGAGTTGTTGCCCTGGAAGGCTGCACGCGCAGTTCCCCAGCTCTCTGCTACCAGAGGAAGGGCTTGCGTTTCAAGGATACTTCCTTGGCCAAGAATGCCTCTCCGGAAACCCAACGGCCCCTCAGTCAGGTGCCCGCTGTCTCCCTTTTGCACGCCTTTGCTCGTCCTTCCCGGGCCCTGGGTTGGGGAGTGGGAGGGGGGTGGAACCTTCAAGCTTCCCAGCTCTGCGTCCTCACACTACCCGCAAACGCTCCGTGGGCCTAGTCACGCACCGGGACCCCTCTCCTCCTTAACAACGGAAGTTACAGCAGCGGTGCCCACTGGCACACAGGGTCCGCGTCGCGCCGCCCCTCCTTGCTTCTAGTGTACATCCTCTGGTCCCGCAGTCGCCCCCCATGGAACCCAGCCCCACTCACCTAGAATGCGGGTGATGCCCAGGGTCAGCTTCTCCAGGTGCGGCTTGCTGCAGCCTGGGGGCGGCGTCTCCTCCATGACTCGCGTCCCGGCTCCGCGCGCTGCGGGGGCAGCAGCGGGGACGCAGCGGGCGAGCGGGGTGGGCGGGACGGCTGGACACCGCCCCAGAAGCTCGGCCGTCCAGTTCACGGCACGCCGGGAGTTGTAGTGCTCGGCGCCTGAGAGCGCGGCGAGGCGGAGATGGGGGGCCCCGGCTGCTCTGGGAGTAGTGGTTCCGTGCGGCGCTCGTACCCGCGACCCCGGCGGTCCTGCCACACCACGCCGCCTGGACAGAGCGACTCCTCCGCCCGGACCCTTCCGCCCCGCCGGGGCCGGTCGCGCAAGCGGGGGCGGGCCTCTGTGCCGTGCGGCCAATCCGGCCTGGGCCTGGAGGCTGGGGCGGGGCGGCCCCGGCGCGACGCCCCGAGTGGCGGTTGTTTCAAGATGGCGGACGTGGCGGGCCCCTCCCGCCCCGGCGCGGCGGCGTTCTGGAGCCGGGACTGTATCCTTTGCCCGCCTGGCAGGGGGCGCCGGCGCCCTCCACCGCGCGGCGAGAGGTCGCGTGGGACTGAGTGGAGGGGCGACGCTCGATGCTATCTCTGGGGGCGGGGCCGTCCTTTCCGGCCGTCGTGTAGGTGCCGGGCTTTCCCCTGACTTGGGTGTTAGGTAGCTGGGAGCCAGATTCTGTCTCCAGGCTGGATACTCAGCACTGAGGTTTTCCAGCCCTCCTTGGCGGTGAGCTTTGGAAAGATGGCCTAGAATCTTGGTCCAGCCAGGGGCTGGGAGGGTCCCTCTGACCGTGGTGACCTCGGGCCGGCTGAATCTCTGCGGAGGAGGGGTAGGGTGTGGGCTAGACAGGGAGCCTTTTTGTCTTGGTTTAGGACTGTCCTTGGTCTGCGTTGTTAGGAGCAAGTCAGGACCTTGTCGGACTTCGAAGGCCTGTCAGTGATTGATGATTTACTTTCTTGCTGGGATTTTCGGAGAGGTTGGGGCTGGACGTGGTCTGGTGGTACTGGTTACGGAATAAAAAGCGTTGCAAGTCTTTGCTGCTGGAAGTAGTGTTGAGATTCATGTGGACTGTGGGTCCCCACTGGCAGGATTGAAGTTTTTGAGTTGTTTTGGGGTGGAGAAGCTGTGGAGCTTTACCGCTGTGGTGGTGTTCCCAGTTAAGTAACTGATGAGACGTGTGACAGACTGATTCTTTCTTGGATTTGGATAGACGGTGCCCGCCTGATCTTTGGTCCTAGTAAGTTACATCACGTTAGAGAAGTGTTACATGAAGAGTGGGCAGTCCGTGTACTGAGTGCCTGCAGAGGCAAGTCTTTTTGTCTGTTAGGATTGATGATAGAGCATTGTTTGAAGCATTGCTGTTAACTTTGGCAGAATCATTTTCTGCACGTTCTACTTAGCTCCCTGTGAAACTTACAAAATTATATTATCAGTTTTACTGATTGAGTTATAGAACTAGGATTACAGTGTCATGTGTAGAGAGGGATATTTTTGCATTCCTTGCTCAGTGTTTAATACTTTGTAAACATAATTACCACTTGTCTCTGATAGGTGGGTGACAAGTAAAATCATGCACGTGTACTGTGGATGAAAACACACTAGTGCACTGTGCAAATTAAATATATATATTTTTTTCTTATCAGGAAGGATGCAAAGAGAATATGTGCATTGGGAACTGGGCTGAATTAGGAAGTCAGGAAATTGGGATGAGTCTTTTCTCATGGAACACAATGCCTGCAATGGATACTTGAAGGTTAGCAGCTTCTAAGGTGCTTTTTTTAGTGTAGTCATTTTCATAACCACTTATGTGGTTTCAGTGGTTATTCCTTAACTTTCTCTATGACCAAGGGAATTGTTCTCATCGGTATAAGTGGTGTGTGTGTGTGTGGGGGGGCAGTGTATTGCTGTTCCACTAATTAAGTTAATAGGTAAATAAACAAACTGTATTCTTGGTCTAAGCAGCCCTGTATGCTCACTTAGTCATATAGTTATTATTCCTTATTTCACATAGAAGTCCTATGTTCTCTCTTTTCTCTCTTTTCATCCTTACTGTGAAAATTAATGTAAAATACTTATCTTCTCATTGAAAGTGAGTAGTAGAAATCAAATGGGGAAGATAGTGGTGATTAAATTTGATAGAAATTCCGTAATTTGAAATGAATTGCAAGGTTACTAGTATTACCTATTTCCCTCACCTATTGCATAAAATTCCCAGTTATCATCCAGCCTCAGATGTTTTCATTTTATTTTATTTTTTAAAATTTTTTTTTCAACGTTTATTTATTTTTGGGACAGAGAGAGACAGAGCATGAACGGGGGAGGGGCAGAGAGAGAGGGAGACACAGAATGGGAAACAGGCTCCAGGCTCTGAGCCATGAGCCCAGAGCGACGCGGGGCTCGAACTCACGGATCGCGAGATCGTGACCTGGCTGAAGTCGGACGCTAACTTAATTGGGCTATGCCACCCAAGGCTTTTCCTTCATTTTAAATCTCCATAGGACACAAAAGCAATGTCAAATATAAATTTGCTACTGAATCTTTGCTAAAAAGTATAAGGATAGTTATGAATCATTTGGTTTAATCATGTGTCTTTGGATCTTTATTACACTAATGACTTCCTAGACCACCTCATAGGCTTTTTTTTTTTTTTTTTTTTCAACGCGTTTATTTATTTTGGGACAAGAGAGACAGCATGAACGGGAGGCAGGAGAGGGCAGAGGGAGACACAGAATCGGGAAACAGGCTCACAGGCTCTGAGCCATGAGCCCAGAGCCCACGCCAGCCTTGAACCGAATCGACTCCCGGACAGAGATCGTGACCTGGCTGGTCGGTCGACGCTTAACCTGCGCCGCAACCCATCGCTGGAGGCCTCATAGGTTATATAGAAGTTTCAATAGAAAAACAAAAGAATGTATGTATAATCTGGTATTCTTTTCACACTGTTAAAAGAAAGTTTTTCAATGCTTTGCCTAAACAATTAGAGAAATGTGACTAGGAAATTTCCTGGTCCTAGATGTTTCTGTTTCTGTCATGTGAGGACAGATCATCTGTGACTGAACATCACCTTTTTTTTTTTTTTTTTTACTGTTCTTATGAGTTCTGCATCTCCTGCACAGTATGATTCAGCAGTAATGTTTGGCACAAGGTATGTCTTTATACCTACTGTGTAAACAGTGAGTATCCCATGTTGTCATTTTATGGGTTAAATCTACAAGTAAAATATGCCCCTTCAGCCATAAACTGTTTTTCTTCAGTATAGTTCCTGGTAGTGTCAAAAGAAATTAATGTTTCTGCAGTATCTAAATTTGATTGGGTAATACACTCCAGTGTTTTATCATTAACTGCATTTTTTTTT